TGCACAAGACCTGAAATCTCAGAGGAGTGAAATATTTGAGACTCTCTTCAGTCCCCGCAGCGATCACATACGCCATCAAAGCGATGAAGAGGAGAGGAGAGGAGAGGAGAGGAGAGGAGAGGAGAGGAGAGGAGAGGAGGAGAGGAGAGGAGAGGAGAGGAGAGGAGAGGAGAGGAGAGGAGGGGAGAGGAGAGGAGGAGAGGAGAGGAGAGGGTGCGGGCAGGAGCGGATTGTCCCTGCACCAGCGAGACTGCACCTGCATCTCTCCCTTCCGATTCCGCAGTCTCCGTGAGCCGCTCTCTCCCGACCTGCTCGCCGCCACCGCTGCTCCTCCCGCACCTCCCGCCCCTCCTGCCCCTCCATGCCGCTTGACGATGTTCAGAGTGCCGTTGTGGAAGGTCAGCCTCTGCGTCCGCTCGTTCTCCTTCCTCATCTTGACATATCGCTCGCTCGTCTGAGGCTCCGTGATGCATACGATGGCTCCCGTGTATCCGTTCATCTTGGGTGCCCTGTTGACTAAAATGTCTCCGCACCTTGTGACAAAGTCAGCGCTGTGGCAGTTGGGAGCAGGGGAGTATGCGGAGAAGGAGAAGGAACAGGACGGAGAGCGAGGAAGAGGAAGAGGTGCAAACGAACGAAGAAGGCGAGCAGAGGTTGAGGGGATGGAGGAGGGGAAGACGAAAGCAGAGGACTCTTGAGAAGTTGCAACGTGATCAAACGAAGGTGAAGGAAGGCAGCGGATTGAGCGCAGGGCGGGGGCGTGGGGGGGGGGGGGGGGGAGTGACTTGAGGTCGTGGCCTCTGGGCGATGGGGGAAGAGAGAGGCAGGGAGTACCACGACTGCTGATCGAGGATCGGGGAAACCATGATTGCGGGACCTCCTCCCGCCCGATGCTGCAGAGTTTTCCAATCCTCCTCGCTTGCCCAGATGTAGGGCAGGTCGATCTGGGAGAGGTCGGACGGATCGTACTGCAGCTTTCCCCGCTCGCTCTCCTCCGCGTCTTTGGGCACCAGCAGTGGGCTGTTGTCGATGGGACGGAGCTCTTGTATCTCCGGGATCTGCGATGCGATATGAGCCGAGGAGGAGGAGGATGGGGAAGAAGAGGAGGAAGGAGAAAGGAGGAGCGATGAGAGCAGCAGCAATGGGAGGAAGGGGCATATTGCATGAGAGCATGGGGGCACCTGAACCCAATCCTTGAAATGATCAACCCACTCCGTTGAGATCAGGAAATATTTCTGCTCGTTCTTCAACTTGATCGAATTTCCCTCGAATACGGCCTTGACTTTCTTGCGGAAATCAGCCCTGCTCGCTCGAATCTGCACCCAAGAGGTCGCATCAGCAGAGGCTCCCGCAAGCAGCAAGCTTGACCTGTTTGGCATTCTCGGCCTCGAACTCCGCATGCCTGCTGCAGAAGGGACAGCACTCCGCCGTGGAAGGATACATCACAAACTGCACTCCCATCAGCCTCTCTTGCTCGACATCGTCTCCATAATCGTCATCTCCATCTCGATCATCGCCAACACCACAATCATCGTACTTGGCACCATCACCATCATCGCCTGTATGCTGCTTCCATCATCATCATCATCATCATCATCATCATCATCATCATCATCATCATCAACATCAACAACAACATCATCATCATGTCTATAATCATCATCTCTATTATCATCATCTTTCCAGTCCCACCCCAAGGTTTCGATCTTCAATGAACTTCTTGGCCTCGGCTGAGATCAGCCTCCGCAGGCTTTTGTTAGTGCACAACCCCTTGTTCTCTAGACACTTCTGCTTCGTCTTCTCGTCAAGAGTAGGAGATGGACTGCAACCCTCTACGTCAGAACTGAACGTGCTCTTCAACATGGCACCACCTGCAGACGATGCTTTCTCCCCTCACGTCTGAGATCGTGGAGAGGTCCTTGCCCATGGTGACTTCCTTGCACACTTGCTTCGAGATCTGCTCGTCGATCAGAAGAATGCAAGGATCACAGAGAGAGGAGAAGTCAAGGCAAAGTTGGGAGTGGGGAGGTGGAAGAAGAGGAGGTGTGGCCAAGGACGGGTATGATGATGATGATGATGATGATGATGATGACGATGATGATGATGATAATGATGATGACGACGACGACGACGACGATGACGACGACACAATTCAGGATGTAGAGGAGACGTACCCAGAAAGCCTTGCGGTCGTCAGGGTCAGGCGTCTGCGCCAGCAGCTCCTTGAGCCTTTCTATGAGATCGCGTGCTTCTCTTCTCTGCACTCGATCTTTGCACTCGGATGTGACGGTCTGCCGGGCCGCCAGCGTCAGTTGGCCGGGCAGGGCCGGAGGCTCACCAAGTACTCACTTGTACGCAGAGAGCTGTGGTGGGGAGGGCGGTAGAGTCCTCCTTCTGCCCGTATTGCACCAAGATCGCATTCCATGCCTCCTCGCTGATGCACTTCATCTCGTGGACCTGAAGATGGTGAGGTCAAAGGCTGCTGAGGGAGGAGGGAGGAGGGAGGAGGGAGGAGGGAGGAGGGAGGAAGGAGGAGGGAGGAGGGAGGAGGAGGGAGGAGGGAGGAGGGAGGAAGGAGGAGGGAGGAGGGAGGAGGTGGAGGAGAGATCGAGGAGGAAGCCGGAGGAGCAAGAAGCTGTCAGCGAGCAGACCTTGCGCGGATCTGGCAATCCATACTGTGAGGAGATGAGCTTGTTGTTGACCTTGTCACAGCTGGTGCGCGGAAAGGGCAAGAAATCAGAGGAGGTAACTTGGAAATGAGTGGATGTAGCAAGGCATACGTGTCTGAGATGGGGTCCAAAGAGATCCAATGCTTCAGCCAATCTGTCGAGATGAAGAAACCGTCTCCTTCCTAAAGTGGAAGGACCTTCGTCAGTCACCTTCGAGGAGAACGACCGAAGCACGGACCATGCATGGCAGCGATCTGAAAAGATTCTCCTTCCTGATCTCCGCCTGCACGCTGATTCCTGCGGTCAGCTGCCAAACAGAGGGATGCAGCGGAGCTCACATGACATCCGCCTCTGATCTCTGCACCTCCATCTCGTTCTGAGCCTCTTGCTCGTGTTTCCTGTCCAACATCAACATTCAGCACAAACATGATCGTCAGTAGCGAGCAAGCCGACCGGTTCTGTTCTTCGATGGCTGTTCTTAGATGCGACGGAATGAAATTAGCAAGGTCCTCCCTCAAGTGCTGCTCTGGCTCCTTCCTCTTGTAGATCAGCATGTACGCGTCCTTCGATTTCACTCTACCCTCCAGCTCCGCCGCCTCCTCCGCCTTTAGCCTCTTCCTCGCCTTCGCTATCGCCTCATCCGTCCCAAGGTAGTCGTCATCGTCCAGAGTCGTTACCACGTCATCATCGAACCTCCACCATTTCCCGTCCACATTCTCTTTCACGTGCGCGATGTAGTGACCCTGCACAGCGCTGGAGCCAGTGTGGACAATCACGCACTGAAGCTCGTACAAGTAGGGATTCTCTGAGCAGTGTGCTCCCATCTCCTTGCCATTCCTCTCCACTGCCGCGCCATTGGCTGCCGCTTTCTCCGTCTTCCTCCTCTTCCTCTTCTCTGCCCCATTCTGCTGTTGTTGGGCGCTAGATTCGGACTTGGCTTGTCCGCACCAATTCGAGAGATCTAGAACCTTCGGGAAGGAGATCTGAGAGCTTACCTTGCGCCGGTTCCCTGACTTGATATCGTACACGAACCGCAGCAGCTGCAGGTTGAGCACGCGAGGTAAAGAGATCAGCTCGATCCCTCTTTGCGCCTTCACCTTGATGTTGCAATGCTGACACTGGTACATGTTCTCCCCATCCAGGTCCTCCTTCTTGATGAAATCGTCAAGGCTCTCCTCTAGCGTCGAGATCCCTTGCACCTTCAGGTCCAGGTCGTAGAACGAGACCTCGGGCCTTGACGTGTATCCACAGACCGAGCATTTGGTGCAGTATGAGTACGTCCCCCTGAAATCATCCTGAATGAACGCCTTTGCCTCTTCTGGCACGCTGCTCTGCGCCAGTGTTTGCTCGAGGAAGCTCAGCAGCAGCTTCAGGAACTCCTGCGCATCCTGCTGCACGGAACAATCCAACCGCAGGGACTTGGCGAAGGGAGTGGTGTCAAACGACCTCGCGCAAGAGATCTCGAGGTTCGCGAAGAGCTTCTGCAGTTCTTGCAATGGCAGGCAGCTCCGGACGCTCTCTGGAAACTCATCCTGAGAAAGCCCCATGATGTTGCGCCGGAACTCTTTGTTGAAGTAAAGGCACTGCAGCATGCTGTTCATATAGCAGGTGGCCCCTAGGTTCTTTAGGCCTCCATACGGCACCTTCGGACTTCTCACGATGGAAGAAACAAACTCCTTGGTCTCTTGTGGCTTCGGTTTCTTCTTCACCTTCCACCCAAGTCCAGCAAAGCAGTTGGGATTCCATTTCTGATTGGATTTCATCTCCTCTTCACTCAGGCAAGGATGGACGATCCTGTGGTTCAGCCCATAGATCCTCTTCAGCTGCTCTCTTGTCGGCTCGACTCCGCATGCTATCGCATCAATCTCCTCGACTTCCAACACATCGATGCCGCAATTCGGCGGCTCCTTCACCTTCGTCGAGCTCGTGGCATATGACTTGATGCTTGCTGTTCGCGAAGATCTCTTCATCGGAGAAATCCTCACTCCCTGCTTGTGCGCTTTGCACAACACAGTATGAATCCCAAGAAAAATTGCCGCCCAGCCTGTACGAAAGAGCCGAGCTCTGTGTAACTGGAAGGAATAGGGGCGAGCGATGTGGAGAGGAATACTTGGACTTCTGCTCTTCACGTCCAGGTCTCAAGGCTTGTGAGGGCGAATACTTGTGGAGACGATTCACAAGGACTGTATCAGAACCCCATCCGAATTCTTAGCAACGTCCACGACCGAGGCCGGCGAAAGCGCGCTGCATCTGAAGATATCTCTGCCTGTTTGTACAACACGTCAGTAACCTTAACCAGCAATGCTTCATTCGAGCATCAGAAGTTCCTGCCTCCTAATAAACTGATGCTTCCTCCTTTCCACAGTCTAGCAGAGTTTCCTAGATGAGTCAAAGCCCAAGGAAATAGCATTTTCATCTTTGTACGCCAACACCAAGATAATCATACGTATGACTACATCTTCAAACGAGAAGACCTCGGTTCCTGCTAGACTCTTCTAGTTTTTCCAGGAAATTAACATCTGACTTCTTTCAAAGCGCTCATTCCAATCATTCAGGCGAAACAGGTCACGAGAAATTTGCCGCCCTCATCTCAGCTCTCCAGATCAGATGAATCACCAGAAGGGATCTCCTCCTCCTCCTTCTCATCATCGTCATCATCAATGATAACAACAACAACACAATCCTTCTGTTCCTGATCCTGATCCTGATCCTGCTCCTTATCATCAATACCATCACAACCATTGTCCTCCTCCTGCTCCTCCTCGTCATCGTCATCACCACCATCACCACCACCCCACCACCATCCCCATCCTCCTTCTGCTCCTGCTCCTGCTCCTGCTCCTCCTTCACATCATCATTGTTTTTATCGCAATCATCATAGCAGGTCTTCGCCCCTATCAATCGATCTTCCATTCTATCACCCTCACCTCCCCCATGGTTCTCTTTTCACCTGTGCAAAGGGCACTCATCCTCGCCTCTCCTCGCCTCTCCTCTCATCAAGCTCTCCCTCCTTCCCTCACTGCTCTCAACTCACTGACACACCCTCTATCCCTCCTTCTCTCCCCCTCCTCTCATATCTTTCATCAGTCCTTCTCGCGCCACCGCTTTGACAGCCTGATGCGCATTTTCATCACCAAGAAACCGGATTCTAAGGATAGGTGGGGTACTATTGAACAAATAGTAGGTAGGGGTACCTGATGTGAATAGGGTAGGGACTTATGAAAACCTCTCAGTCAAGGGTGGGTGGAATTTCTATAACCAAGGGTGGGGTGATATTTGAGAAAGCATGGGTGGGGTGATTGAACTGAAACGATTTGCAGGGGTGGTTTACAATAACAAGTGTAGGGGTACGCAGGGTAGCTGGGAGCCACACAGGGTAGCCAAGAAATGGTGCCGGCAACAACCAGTACAAAGAAAATCTCAACTATTTTTCTGGTACAAATTTGAAGTTAAAACTTATTATAGAAGAGGGATTTGTATGACGCATTTGTGTCTACTGAAAATTTTGAGGTTATGTATGGTGGGGTAGTACTGCCTTTCCTGGTGGGGTGGACAACAGTTTCAGGGTGGGGGTACCGAAGGTTGAACCATAGACTGTTGAGGGGGAAGGGGGTGGGGGTCTTGAGAAAGGGGGGGTGGGTGGTATACGTTGGGGGTAGGTAAGGCTAAGCAAGGAAAGGCACAGGCAGAGGCGATGCGGAGTAGAAACGGTGGAACGCGGCTGTGCAGAGCATGGCTGCGGTCATCGAGGTACAGAGACCTGGGAAGGGTAGCAGAGGTAGAGGGAGCAGACAGAATCTCCCTCACCTCAACCTTCAAGAAGCCGCCGAGCTCTCAGTTGTTGAAGAACGTTTTCATAACCATTGGCGATGAATGCAGGCCGTGCGATTTCCAGCAGGGGAACGACAAGGTTCCTGGCGCTGTTCGTCTACACAGCTCCTTCAAGCGAAAAGTTTCTCCTGGCGATCCTTACATCATCACCTCCATGCACGTGTACTTCCTGAGAGACGCGGAGAACAAACACACCAGCGAGCCCCCTGTTGACTCTCACCGAGATTATCAGATGGTCCTCAAGTCAGCATTCTTGTGGGAGAGGAGCGAGGACATCTCCTATCTTTCCTGCCAGCCCACCGAGTGGCAAGGTGATTCGAATCCGTACCAGGATCCATCCGCCGTAAGAGCTGCTGTGCATGGTGACCGAGCCAGGACGGAGGACGGGAATCCTTTCGTCTGGCAGACCATGCGCTCGAGGAAGCTGGCTGCCGCAGTGATGGAAGGAGCTCCAAGGCATGATCTGCATGAGGTGGCTTGTGAACAGCGATCGGCAACGCAGGGAGACAATCGCGTGCCCCGAAGGAAGGCGAACAAGATTAACATCGTGATATCGAACGACGCCATCCTGAACAGTTGAACAGATTCGTCTTTGGTATGCCCAATCCCTCCTCCTCCTCCTCTGTCTCTCCCTCCACAACTTCTTCCTCCTCCCACGCCAAATTCAACCATTTTGATGGATTCCCCTCCCCCCACCCCACATCCTCCGTGTTCCCCAACTACTGAAAGTCTGTTCTCCCCCCTGTCGATGCTCAACGATGTTTTGCGTGCTTCGCTCATGTCTCTTGGTACTTTTCAGCTTCTCCCTCCTCTCAATTCTCTCTTGCTTTCCCTTGGCGACCAGTCGATTCTCGCCGAAGTTCACTCAGGGCAGTCCAGCTGCCGCCGAGGGCCGTCTGTGTTCGTGACTGAGCTGAGGGAAACCACCGCACTGTCGAAGCTTTCTTGACAGTCAAAGACGGACTGTGAGCGTGATCGGACGGATAACTAGTTCTCACTTTCTTTTCTCTTCTCGCTGTATGGCCTGTGTGACAGTGTCTCACGGTCAGCCGGGTCAAGCACCAGTGTCCTCGGCCTCGTACTGATTTCAATAATGTTCATATAACTTAGCTTCAAGTGAGTAAAGAAGACTGATACGGTATGGCCTGTGCGACAGTGTCAGTGTCAAGCCTCCTCTACTCTCCTTATTGTCCTCGTAATGATTTTTAACCTAAACTTGAAGACCGTACTACGATAAACTTGAAAGGGGCCCGCTGTCACGGTCAGATCATGATTCGGGCCGATGATGGCCGGGCATCATGTTGGACGAAATTCAAAAATGAGTGACGCGCCCGGGGCCGCCGGGCTGGGGCGGCGGGCGGCTTGCACTGACACTGCAGTGGAGTTTACGGTTTTTAACTTAACTTTGAGTAAGAAGTTAACCGTCACAGGCTCCGAGCCGGGCCGGCCGCCCGGCCCGGGCCCGCCGGTCGGACAGTGCATACTCAGTGACCCGTAGTTACGAGCTAGTACTAGTTTTAACTTTGAGTAAAGGCAAGTCAGTTTTACTGGTACTGGGGTCAGTGTGAACTGAAGTCCGAAACGTTCATTAATAGAATCTGTACGAGAATTTATTATATATTGTACAAAATTTTGGTACAACCTTTCGTGAAAATCTGTATCATAACATTACAAATTTCTGGTATGTGTGTCATATATATAATTGTAAAAATGAGAAGTACCGGGACATCTTGTGTCCATAAGTACCAATTGAAATATCTGTCATTTATTTATTGATTTTAGCTTTAAAAGTGACGTGGAGGAGCCGCGACTCTTCGCAGACCTCGCGGTTCATGGCGGGCGGGGAGGGAAACAGGAGGAGGGGGCAGAGGAGGAGGAGGGGGCAGAGGAGGAGAAAGAAGGAAGAGAGGAGTAGGTACAGGTGGAATATGGGTTCAGAGATGATCAAGAGTGAATGTGAGAAGGTAGGATGGTGGTTTGGAAGGCATAATCCAGTATAGAATTCAGATTCGGGGCATCATGAAAGGAGAAAAATGAAGTACGCTCGGGACGAGAGGGTACTTCAAGTAGGTTTGTGTGTTGAGTTGAATTTCAAGGGATTCCGAGGAATGGGAATCTCATCAGGAGTGCTAGCAAAGGGATAAAGCAACGAGGAGCTGGATCGATTCCTCGATCCAGGATCAGGATCCTGTGCAGTGGAAGCGAGGCTCATGCTGCAGACTTCGAATCTTCATGCAGTTTTGAGAACCAAGATAGTTTAACTTAATGTTGGAAGGTCAAGAGTCGTTAGGGACTGAGTTGTTATAGTGCATGGCTCTCCTGAAGTCATCAGGACCATCGTGAGAGAAGAGAGGTGTTATATAACACATGCAAGTGAGGAGTGGGATTTGTTGCTTGCGTTTCGATCATGAAGATGTTGGACTAGAGATCCTGAGTCCTAGGTGTCGGCCTGCTGAAAGGCTTCCAGTCCTTCCGTACACCGACAAAATCTTTCCTCACTTACTTCCCCTCCCTTCGACTTCCCGCACCTCCCTCATTTTCCGTGGTACTGACTCTGATGTCGCAGCATGTTTTTCAAGCTCGAAGGAATCCCTGAACCACCTGCTGGCTACGTTCCCCCCCTTGGCTCCTCAAGGAACACCTGGACTAACATCTACAAGAACAAGGGCCGCATCGATTACTGCGTTCAGCAGTTTGACGTGAGTAGAATTCCTCTTAGCTCTTTCCCTTCCCCTTTCCTGCTCCTCCTCAGCCTCCTCCTCACCTTTCTCCTCGCTCAAGCAAGCAGTCTGACTGTGCTTGTGCAGTACTTGTCCAACCGCCTGAAGTGCATCGACAAGCTTACTGGAGGACCCTTCCTCGAGTAGAGGCTGCAAGCGACCGCTGCAGATGTCTTCGATAGAATGAAATGAATCTCGTATCTCAACTCTCTAGTGTCTCGGAGTTTTACTTGGGGTTCACACGAAAAATCCTCCACCGAGAGGTGGGGAGTGAAACCTGGAAGAGAGGCCTAGAAGAGGTCACTTTTCTATGGTGTAAATGCTGCGGCTGCTGCTCGGCATGAAAGCGTTAGGTGTGTCTGTGGGGTTAGTCTACAAGGACGAGGTGACGAGCGAGGCAGTAGGACGTCATTCGTTCTCGTTCTCCGGGCTAGAGGGGAGCGCACCGGCTTCCCTCATGACCTTGTGCTTGCGCATCTGCTTCCTCTGCGAGATCTTGGCCTTGATGTCTTCATTGCGCTGGTCCATCTCTTTCTTGAAGACCAGGAGATCCGCCCCAGCGTCGTCGGCCACGACCTTGAGCTCGGTCAGAGCGCTCAGCCATGCGCTCTTCTCCTCCGACGACTCGGCGATGCACACAAGGTCCTTCTCCTCCCCCTCCTCGTCCTTGAACATGATGACGAAGCCGTTGATAGCCTTCTTGTTCAGCGTCTTGATCATCACAGGGTTCCCCGCGCAGTCCGACGCCCCTATGATGTCCTTGATCATCACGTTCCGCACCCGCGGCCCCTCAACCCCATCCATGATGGTGTTGGCCATGGCGATAGTGTCCTTAGCAAACCCAACCACTCCTCCTCCCACCGTCGCTGCTGCTCCCACGATGTTCTGCCGCGCCTGCTCGGGCCGGAAGGCGTTGACGATATGCGTGCTGTCGACCTTGTGGACTCCCCGAATTGTCTTGATGCCCCGCAGCGTCGCCGCCTTGATCCCATGCGCAATCCCGACGCCTGTGGCGAAGCTCTTGTCCGCCAGGGCTGAAACGTCCACAGTCTCGGTGATGATCAGGTTGCGGAACTGCAAGGAAGTTCCCATCGCCCCGTCGATCTTGATGTCTCGCTGTACGTCCGATCTGTTCGACACGTGTCAGACAAGCGTCCCCCATCCTGCCCCCAACTCTCGCCCTCTGCCCTCAACCCGACCAACTCAATCTTCCAATGCTGCTGTCTCCTCGCCCGTCATATATCCATGCAGGGATGTTTTCACCAAACCCGTCCTCTTCCTTCTACACCTTCTCTTCCATCTCCTCCACAACCGCCACTATCGCCTTTTCCTCCTCCTCCTCCTCCTCCTCAACCACAAGAAGTACCGCCACCTCCTCCTACCTCTCGCCATCCACAAAGTGTCCTCCAGTCTCGAGCAGCTCGAGGTACTTCGCCACGAACTTCTCCACTCGGAGTTGTCGCTCCCGCATCTTTTGGTAACCAGCAAGTAAGCAACACGGGACGCAAGAGGGTGAGCGACCTCAGAGATAAGATGCTGCTGCGTATCCGAGCACAGGTTGCAGCACCTTACAGGGTCCTTGTAAGGCGCAAGGGAGATTTTGTCGTTGGAGCTGCAAACTGAACAAAAGATCCTGTATAGCGAAAGGAAGTCGGCAAGAGCATGCACTGGGCCAGAAGAGCGAACCTGCCGCAGCATCTGCAATGATGCTTCCTGTTGGTTGCAGAGAACACCTGGATGACACTCTCATCTCAGCGGCACATCATCACTCTCACGTCAGCCTCAAACACCTGTCGGCATTTCTCGCACGTCTTCGCATGCTTCTCCGCCATCCACGCCATGCTCGATTCCCCTGCCTTGCACCTGAGCCCAACAGCTCAGCGACACACTCTCTGCTTCTCGAGGGCGTTACGCACTTGTGACCGCCGTTATGTTGCGCTTCCAAGATTGCCACCCTCCAAGTTCTGCTCGCGAGAACTCTTACAGAAGCTCCCCTCGTTCCCTTCCCTCCTTCTCTTCTCTTCTTCCTCATCTCGATCCGCCTCACCTTGCTAGTTCGCTAGTCGAGCAGCGAAATCGAAACCTCCTTTGGCTCCCCTGAACAAAAATTTCTTATCTCCCTTGACTGCACCGTCAAACTTTCTACCTGCAGCGTCAGGATATGCTCGTCCTTGTCTTGCTGTAGCTCCATGTCGTGTATGAACAAAATCCCACTGGCCTCCTTCGGATCTGCGTCAGCTCCTCAGCCCTCTCCACCTTCGACCCTTGCCTTATCCGTCTCCTTGTCGTAATAGAAAATGTGTGCTTCGCGCCCATCCCATCCTGTGAGGATGGCGAACCTTGATTGCCAAGACTTGAACATCTTCTCTTCTGTCTCCTTCTCCATCCAACCCATCTTCAACGCATGCTGCCCCACCACCTCAACCTAAACAAGATCAAAACACTCTACTGGAGTTAACGCTTTACCGAAGTGATGGGTTCTTCACTTCCTGAAGTGCGCATGACACTGGAGAGGACCACGGGTCAGAATCAAGCATGTGAGAGGGTCTAACGATCCCTACCCTGAGAGCTGTTGCAGGTCTCACGCAGAGAATGGCATAGAGGCGGATTCCAGGTCTGGCAGGACAGGTGAGTCATCGGCGAACATTGAAACACGTCATCCGCATCCTCGCCATGCCAACGGCGTCCTTCCATGTCTCTTGACTCCTCATCATCTAGCTCGTTCATCGTCCTTTGCCTCGCTCCCCTCGCTCCTCAATCCATCTCACTTGCTCCTTGTTGTTCGCTACGGGGACATGGATCCGGGGAAAGGAGGAAATAAACAATGGTATCCCCACCCCCTCTGTGTACTGTCCAGTACCCATGTCTTCCCTAGCTCATCAGAATGCCAAAGGAAGGGTACACGTCTCGTTGACCCCCTAAGGGTTCCGCCATTACACCCCCATTTTCTATGGGAATTACAATGAAAAATGTATGGTGGGGTAGTATACCCCACCCTCAAAATATACCCCAGCTTTCCCCCTTTCGCCCGCCGGGGCGTAGAATGATTGATTCTAAAAGAGTTTTAATATCAATAGAAGTAAGCATTTGAGTTACAAATATGGTACAAAATAAATACTCAATTCAATTTAAGTACTCATATTTCCCCAAAACATTACCAATATTCTTGATTGCAAGCAAAACAAGGTACAGCATAAAAAGCATTTTACCGTAGGCCCAGTCAGTCGAGCCCGCAGCCGCGGGGCGTGACTGCGGCACTGGGCATGTTCCTCAGCCGGGCCCGGCGGCGCCGCGTGCCGCGCTGGCATCCGAGCGACTGGGTGCGCCGCGGAGGGTGCGACCCGGGAGCGACAGTACGGATCACAGAGTCACCGTCACCGGGCCGCGGCCGGCTCCGGGCCTCGGATCTCTTAATAGTAGCTCAGTGGCCGGGCCCGGGGGAGAGACACCGGGCGCGGCCGGGGGGAGGGCCGTCCGACTCCTGCCAGTTGATGGAAGGTCCGAAATATGGCCCGGTAGGGGTCATCATGGTGATCGTACCGGTCACCGGGTACGGTACTTGACTGACTTCAGTGAATAGTCTACCCCACCCTTACACAATACAAGGAGGGGTGGGTGGTGATCTGTAACCCTAGGCTAGTAGGGGTGGCTCCGTGGTTGATATAAGGCTGGGGTGGGGGTCCAGGCCTTTTTTTGAATCAGGCATGGCGCTGCTAATTTGCATGACAGCTACAGGCACATGCCGCATTCAGTAGGGAACGAATGTAGGAAGATGAAGGAAAGGGAGGGTTAGCGATGGAAAGTTACAGAGAAGAGGGCATGCATGCAGCAAGCAAGGTGGTCCATCCTTCACATTCTTATCTTTACTTGGGCTCAGCCACGCTATCCACACTCATTCCCTCCCATCACTAATGTTTCGTTCCTTCCTCCTCGAACTGAATGTCTTTGTGATGTGCCATTTTCATCGGTGCATGCTCTGTTGAGACTTCTCTTGCCGAGGCCATTTCTCTTCCTGAAGCATGGCTTCTCTCGATGTTGAGCGATGTTGGATTATGTTGGGATACTTCACAAGCATGTCACACCGCACATCCCCTCTCTCCTTGTCCTCCATTCAACAGCCAGCAGCCATGTTCTCTACAAAATTCTCTGCAAACATGTTCTGTAGCGACTTGCATCCATGCGTGCAAGGCTCTGATCAAAGATGCTGAGAAGGCTGACAAGGAACTGCTTCCCACCTTTCATCGAGAATGCATCAGCTGAATCAAGAATGATCGGAAGCAACTGGAACTACAGCAAGAATTACAACATAGGTAATACCTGTTCAATTCCTCTAGAGCCCTTTTTCCAGCATGTCCAATCCCCTGACTTGGTTCTTCATGTACAGACAATGCCGGGCGTCTGGGGGGGGTTGGAATCATCTTCTCGAGGGAGGAGGACTCTCACTACCTGGTCGTGAAAGAGGTTCTCCCTGATGGTCCAGCCTTTGCCAGCAGTTTGATCTACCCCGGGGATCGCCTTTGTGCAATCAATGAGTTCGACCTGGCGCTGAGCGAAACAACCCCTCCTCACGAGCAACCGCAGCTCCCCGGCCCCCACGGAACGACAGTGCACCTCACGTTTGATAGAAGTCATGACCGCAAGAAACCACAGAAGTTCTCCATCTCCCTCATGCGCAGCATGGCGTACTACCCCGACCGGCTCTCTAACACTCCTTACCAAGATCGCCAGGGCACTTTCACGCCTAGTCCGCCTTCTGCGAGGGATCAGAGGCCTGAAGCCTGGAAGTCTCCTCAGAGCCGAACGAGCTACGAGCGCCTCCTGTCTCAGAGCACGTCGAGGAGTGCAATGCTTTCTCCTAAGTTTCAGTATCTGGAAACTAGCCCTGCCAAAAGATCTCCCCGAGAACATGCGAACTTCAGCTTTGAGAGAAAGTTGCCAAGTTATAGGTCAGATATACCGTACCAGTCTTCGAACTCATCGCACGAAAGAGATCAAAACCTGATTCTCAACGATGGAGATTCTCTGCATGACGTCCATACCAGACTTGTTGAATGTAATCGCAAGAGGGAGAAGGAGGCAAAAGCTTTCCGAGATCGAAAGTACATACTTGAAGAGCTTGTGAAAAGTCTGAGGGCAGAGATTGAAGATTATCGGAACAAGATTAACGAACTGCAGTTTGAATTGAATTCTCAAAAGAAACAACACACCAACGACAGTGTGCTGGTGAATGCATATGAACAAAAGATAAACGAAATGCAAGTTTTGTTTCACGAGGAACGGAACCAGCTCATGGAACAATACAATTTGGCTGTACAAGAAAGAGACGATATGAAGATGGAGAGAGATTCATTGATACAGAAGAATGAGCTGGTTGAAAGCAAACATAGGATTGACCTTGAGAAGATTCGATTGTCGTTGGAAGACGAGAGGCGAAAGCGGATTGATCAGGAGGGAGAGTTCAAGGCGCTTGTAGAAGAAAACCGTGAGCTCAAGGAGGCGTTTGTGAAGACAGAGAGCATGAGGAAGGAAAATGAGAGGCTGACCCATCAGATCATCGAGTTGAAGATGTTGGTGGACTCAGATGATAGGGCGCATGTCGGGAAGAGAGCGACGGGAGCTCATGAGAGCCAAGGGTCGTCGGAATCCAGGATAGCAGACTTGCAGATCTTGGAGCACGAGGGGATTCATCACGAGGTCGGGTCCAGCGGCACTGCTTCTCCTCAAGCGAAAGGCAGCGAGCAACACGATTCGAATGGGAAAGTTGAATGGAAGGTACAGAACAGCTCTCCGATATACGTGTCAAACAACGAAAGTCAACAACATGGAGGATTGATCAAGGCGTTGCCCATCGAGAATGACGCCATCCTCGGAAAGAAGTTCCCTGTTCACATCCCAAAGCTCAAGCTGCCTGTGAACGAAAACGATTCCAAGACGTTGCAACCAAGAGCGTCAAACTCTAGCACGGCTGGAATAGGCATGTCGTTTCACACGGACCCAGCTTCCAACAGGTACATCATCACCGACATTCATCCCGCAGGACCTGCCGGGAAGGCGCTGGAGGACGGGCTGATGATGATAGGAGACACTCTGATTGCTGTCAACGGCAAGAACGTGCAGTTCCAAACCCCCAAACAGATTGTAGAAGAGATCAAAGGCCCGGAGGGGACCAACGTGACGTTGAAGTTGTCAAGGTCAGACTCTTTCGGCAGCCCCCAGAAAACGTTTGAGATTCAACTTGTGCGAGCGAAGCTGCACGGCGGCTCCAACGCAGCGCCTGCGCACGATGACAAGGCATCCGCTACAACGGAGAGTCCGCACTTAGATCATGCAGGTGGGGAGCGAGCATGTTGGGCAGGGTTGGGAATGACTGCGACTTGACTGACAGGAGACTCGTCCCCTGGGTTGAAGTCAAGCCCAGCGGGATCGTCGGGCTCCAACGAATCTCTGACCCTCCCCGAGGGGTGGCAGAAGGAAGTTGATCACGACACAGGCAAAGTTTTCTATGTGAACCATGCACTGAGAAGCTTCTGCTGGGCAAATCCCACGAGTCGCAAGGGTGAGGTGAGAGCAGAGCAGGTCTCAAGATAACGTGATGTAGAACTTGAATTACCTCGTATCAATCTCTTTAGATGCATTCAGATGTAGGGCTTGACTTACTTTATTCCATCATTCTCTTTACATGCGTTGAACACAATAATACAGGAAGAATTTACACGAGTAATGGGCTGCTGCAACGAGGCGTGAGCTGATAGAGCGTTGAGAGCAGCACTAGGAGCTGTTCCCTCGACTCAGCGCATAGTCAGAGAAGGGGCGTCGTAACAGATCGTAACTGATACTCGAAGAGCTGCTGTACGAAGAAGTTGCAGTAGATCGTTCAGAGGAAGAGGCTGAGCTGCTGACGCTTGAGATCGAGATTCGATTTCCTTCCTTCCTCCCGATCTCGCTCCTTTCATCGTTAATCCTCTGCAATGCATCACGCGCCTTGTCCAGCACTGTCAAGATCCTGGGCTTTGGTCCCGACTTGCTCAAGTTGTAATCCTCGATCAGCTGCTCTACTGTAGATTTAAACTTGATATGTATAGCCGAATTGTGCTCGCCATTGGAGTCCTACAGAGTCAAAACCAGTAAGTGGAGCAACAAGACGCGGTTGTAACGAGTATTTCACCTTGCTTTTCACCGCCGACAAAGACAGCATGTGCTTCTTTTCCTTTTCTTTCTGCTGTTGCTTCAGCAAGTCATTCAGGGAAAAGTTGATGAGCGGCGCATCTACTAGACTGTCAGGCACAACACGACATTTGCGGATTCAACCTTCATCACAAGGAATTTGCGATTCCAATCTTGTCAACCTTGTTCGCAATGATTCCAACTCCACAGGAATCTTTGAAGAGTATGGATTCTCAAAGAGATCCTGGCTCAAGGTCACTCCTTGCCACTGCAGCATTCAATCATATTTTGTTGTACCTGCATGGAGGAGTGCATGTTTCGGAATTTGGTCAGCTTTTGGTCTCTCTTTACATACTCCAGAACTGTCGTGTCAATCCTGTCTTGCCTTGACCTGACAAACAAACATCAGGGAAGAACAAGCAACGTATCACCGAGCTCACATGGATGAATTGGAGGCCTCTGTCAAGTCATTTTCTCCGGGATCAAACAAACTCTCGCTCGATTGCGATTCGCTGTCAATGCGGCCGAGAAGGCGCGATTGCTCCTACTTGAGCGTTTAGATGAGAGTAACAGTGCACATGTCCATCACGACCTGGAGAAACCTGTACTTCTCGTCTGTGAGGTTCCCCCAGTCACTCGCCTGCAGCGATCTCTCTTCCATCTGACGGTGCATCTTCTTCGCCTGCATGGAGATCAGCTCCATCGCCCGACAAGAGCTTCGAGCCGCTCACATCGTCTGCCATGACCTTGACGAAGTCCTTGAGGTTCGATACATTGGCCGGGCTCTTGACGTTCCCATAGCTCTCGTCGTCCTGGTGTGTCAGGATCTTGATCAGCTTGGCATCGTTCCGTTTCAAGTCCGAGGATAGAGGGACGTGGTGCACCATGCTCGAACTTTGACCCTTCCTCGCACCAGGTACTTGAACCCCCAGCATCTGCAGGTCATGCATGAACTTCTTCCTCTTCCTAGCTGAGATCGCACTGGCTGTATGCGGTCTAACCAAACGTTCAGACATCGTTTACGACGATGACCAAGACGCGCTCAAGCTCTCCGGGTCAGCAGAAGCTTTTCACGCTGAGATGATTTGAATGAATACGAACTTGCACATCTTCCCAGCTCATATCTTTGCAACTGTTGATAAAAATCAATCAAGATGAATCCGAGCAAGCAAGACAAATCTAGGTTGCCCATCTCGATCCGTTCTATGTGAACCTTGATCCTATCTGACACTATCGCAGAATATCGATTCAACATGACCGTTCCCTCAGTACACTCTGCTCCTTCTAGACTTGTTGCCCATCGGTCAGTCATATGTGCATTGTTTGCGAGATATTCTGTACTGTCTGGTCCCTGTCTTATCTTAAGTTTTCCCTCTCATACATTTTTGACTTGTTCTTGTTACCAAGGGCATCGTCAACAGTTCAAATCTTTCTCCTCTCGTTCTATTCCAAGGAACCAGCCATTCATTTCTTCATCCAGACTGCTTCCTGATCCTCCCCCAGGACCTGCCTGCGAGCCCTCGGGCTCAAACTACCACCCTGCTTCTCCGAGCCTCCTCCGAGCATTCTCCGAGGCTCCTTCAGGATGGCATAATACCTCTCCTCCTCGCTGTCGCCTCTTCCTCTTCAAGTCCTGCACTAGTACCATCTCCTCCTCCACCCCATCCCGCTCATCTTGGGCTTGCATGTGGGACCCGGCTTACCGTGTCACTACCCCCCGATCGTTTGTTCCCCTACCCCTGGTATACCCTTGAATTCATCATAAAGGACCGGGTACTTCACGAGCCTACCCATCAAAAATGGGACGGTGGGTGTCCCAGGTGTCCGAGTCCCGTGACCCTAGTGTCGGTACTGTTAGGTCCCACCCCACTGGACCACCCCAGTCCACCCAACCGCACCCCACCCCCACCCTCCGAAGTTTGCTCACAACTCACCCTGCCATCATGGCCAATCCGTACCGTACCTCGGCAGTGGGTTAAGGATGCTACCCCTGTTTTCAAGCAATTTCTACTGGGTTCAGCTTATGACCAACAAGCACTACCCTACTCCCGTTTTTAGTACCCACCCTACCCCAGACAAACCTCTTGGCGCCCCCCTCGGTCGAGTCCCGGGCTTGATCAGAAGTACACCTGCCATTTCACCCACCCCCTTACTCCTGGCAACCCCCCGGGGGGACCTGACGAGCGGTACCGTGTCATAGTATCACTACCCACCCTACCTTTCGGGATCTCTTGTACCTTTCGACTACCCCACCCAGGGGCCCCTCAAAGTTCTCAAGGTGACAGAAGTTGCCACGGTCACTCAGCCGATACCCCCCGGGCTACCCCTACCTAATCAAGTTCAACTATCTGGCGATAACTAGCAGTAACCGGTACTTCAAGTGCACCACCCCCTCATCCCCCACCACACTGACCGCCGGCAGGAACAAATAAAACAAATAAAGATCTTGATCTAGCCTTCCCGGACTCGGTCCGACGGGAGGGGGTACTGTAGGACTCCGGGAGGCTACCGGGGGTGGTACCGTCCCGCCAGCCATCGCTCATTGACCATGGCCACACTACCGTGGATTTAATCTAAGTAGTGAAGCACGTGTAGTATTATTGAGAGGGCCACTTCATCAGATGACCTAACAGCAGCGTAGGGACGTTGACCTGCTGGTTTTTTTAGCACCTGAGATATGGTGGCCGGACCGTGCCATCAAGAAAGGGGCAGTCACGCCGCCGGGTAGTCTCGGCGGCTCTTGACTAGGAGGTGCTGCTGTTTCTTTTTTTTCAAGTCCGACTGCCACGACTTCCGGGCCCGGGGCCGGGCCGGGCCTGGCCGGGCCGGTCCGTGATCGGACCCGGCCGGGGGCCGGGACTCCGACCGGGACTTGACCTGGAACCGTTGAACTGACGTTGAATCGATGCAGCGTAGGAGATTCTTCCTACTAGTGACTCATCGTTCATCATAGTAGCCGCATAATATACTTCATACTCACATTGGGAACCGGCATGGTGCTCAACTTGCAACATGGCAAGGCGAGAGTATGGCACGAAGCAGCGGTCATCATCTTTGCACTCCTCCCGAGTCCTCTACATCGCAGAGGAGATCGGGATCGTGCAGATGAAACGGAGCCTAAACACGGCACTCCCAATGGGTGAGGACGAGAAGAAGGATGACAAAGGGAATTATCAAGATCAATACAAGGATGGTATTTCAACTGCTTTTTAGTGTTGTATCATTAAATCAGAAACATTGCAGTAGAGTTTTGAATAAAGCCTGAGGATGAGTGCCCGTTTAAAGAGACAGAAGCTGTAGAACGAGGCTCTCCTTGCAAGGAGCAAGTTGAGGAAATACGATGAGGATGAGTCGTACTGGGCGCTTTTAGAGCTCAGCATGTATGAGCCAACAATACAGTTCTGCTTCTCCACACTCCCAAGCATGTGCCTCTGCAGGGATATTAAATGCAGAATCAAGGGCAGGGAATGCAACAAAGATTTCAAAGACTTTCTGAATATGCATTACTTCCCCTTCCTTCTCTGCGCAATAAGATGCGTGTTCACATGTGGCTTCGTGCCCGTATACTTTAGGAAGCTTGCAAGCGGGGATGTGGTGCCCGATTTCCCGATTGCCTACCCCTAGGCTCATTCCGATGGAGGATCGTGCCCAATAAGCTCAGAAAAGAGGAGGAGGGAGAGCAGAACGACAACACAGGTATCAATCTTGAAGAGACGAATGATCAGGAGGACCAGGAGAAGGACTATATTCCCAAGTTCACACCCAAGACAGACAATGACAGCAAGCTGCTGAAGTATGAGATCGATATACTGACAGGGAATCTTGCAAGGAAGAACGTGTACATCTATGAATACGCACAGCCTAACTTCAATGTGGCCAGCTCTAGCATCTTCTACTACATGGTATCTTCTCCATTGTGCGGGATACTGCAGGATTACAAGAATCTAACGGAGGCAAAGGCAAGGAGCGCCTATGCAGACCAGTGGAATTTGCAAGGCTCACCTTCTTTTCACCACAAATTCTTGCTAAAAAACTATCTTGCCTCCATAATCTATGCTTCATAAAACATGAATGATGAAAAGTTTGCTGCTTCTGAAAGTGATGATCAATTCCAATTCACCAATCCAAACAAATCAGTGACAAACACATTTGATCTCACGCGGGTGACTCCTTGTCATGAGAAAACCAAAACAGAAAAATATGCATCAACAATGGAAATTCTCAAGCTGTTCAAGTGTGTGCATTGGACTGATTTCGAGCAAATTGTCTGTATGCGCCCACTAATACCCCTTTCTACTCCTGTCCCTCAGTCCTCAACTTCGGTTGGAAGCCGCCGCTGCATTTCCAATCGCTCATGCCTGTCTATCTGCCTGCCTGCCTGCCTGCCTGCCTGCCTGCCTGTCTTCCTTCATCCATCTCTCCCTCTCCCCCTGCCTCTCCCCCATCTCTCAGGCCACCTCCCTTCATCTCTCTCTCCATCTCTATCCACCTGATCATGTTTACGACATGTGATTATTGAAGTGATTGCTGACTGACATCATTTGGTAGTGCTCATGTAAGGCTCCAACAACATCAAGACAAGAACTAGGTCGGCTCTCCATCCTACAGACTACAGGGGTGTCGTCTGATCGAAAACTGGCCTGGCCACCTAGCTAGTTCGTCGGTCAGAAGGGCATACTAGGTGTGTCCGGTACGCAACTATCTGTACGTTCCCTGGTACAAATGTTACGGACAGTCCGTTAAATTTCACTACAACCGTTTTTAACGATGAACGTACAGATAGTACGATAATCGCTATTTCTCAAATCCGAGCAAAATAAGAACGTTTAGTACTTACTGTAGGTTCGTCAAATTTAAAAGTCAAGTTTTTAAACCGCCCCCCCCTGCCCACCGCCCTGCCCCCTCTCCCATCCTTCCCGCTCATCAGCCCTTCGCTTCCGACCGCGATTTACCGCGATCCTGATCAAGTTGATGGTTAGATGAATGTTCTCTGATGAATACATCGTTCATTCGTTCATTAATCGTCAACCAACCATCGTTCTTTTCTCAAACCTCGATCATTCAAGGCGGTGCAAACCATTTTTAGATCAAGACACATTCGTAAGTTTCCACCAGGCTATCAACAGAAGCCATGTCATAAGGCAAGTGGATGAAATTCCAAACCGAGCTGTAAGAGTTTACTGATAAAGAGTTTCTAGTAGAGCAGCTGAATCTTGATATAAAACTTCTCTAATTCAATCAAGGTATTCCCACCTTCAATGTGCTTGTTCAATATACTTTTCCTATCCCCGCCAATGTCTGACTCTGCAGTACGGATTGCATCGAGGTGTTCATTGATTGTCTTTGCTTGCTTCCATTCATCTACAGCGAGTGGATCTCGCCCGGCATTCAAAGCGTCGCTTCATGATATAGATTTCTGTGCGAGCATGATTCAGGTTTGCTTGCCGCATGCTGCGAATTGCCCAGTACCGCGACAATAACAAGCCTTCACATCGGATGCATACAGTCTTTTTGACTTGCCTGTGCTTCAAAGTTGAAACGATAAGAAGCCTTTGCCTGTAGTATGCAGCATGAACCTCGTTGCATGTTTAACCTGGATTCTTTTCGTTACGCACTCGTGAATGCGCGGCTTTCATCCATGCTGCAGAAAATGGACCTGATTCTGAATGGATGATAACATGTATCTGACATCACCTATCTATCTTCACCAGCAACGTCGGCGGAACCGCTGTAGCTTCCATCATCAACTTGGCCGTCCCGCAGCATGGCAAGTGGGTCCTCATCATTTTGTATGTTCGATCAAAAATTTGAAAACTTTGAAACAAATTGAAATTCGTTCTTTCGGATAGTACAGCTCGTACCGAATCACTTTTTGAAATTCCTACTGTACGCGAATTTAACCTACAGTAACAACGTACAGATAGTAGCGTACCGGACACACCTACTTCTGGGTATACTGTCACGCCGTTATTATGAGAGGGAGAGTACCCGTAGTGTTCTCTGACGTTTTCATATATTATGGACCCGTAGTTGTACGGTAAAGGAGATGGAAAGATCGCAGCCCTTCGTATTGTTGCCCAGTCCTTTTCGGGCAAGTCCGCACTGTATGTGAAAAGACTTCGATTGGTATTGTTGCTGGAGCAATTTAAAACTCCTTCCCGTGACACACATCTTGCACCTCCTGTAAGGCTGGTTAAGGTGGTCGATAAATAGCAATGATTCGCATTGTTGCTGGGCAAACTTTGAGTCTTAAGAAGGCGAGTAAGGTAGGGAGTGGGTTCATCAGTACGGGCAGTTGCGTACGGTCGGTTCACTTTACAACATATCCATCGTTTGCGAACGAAAAATATTTTTTTTGAAACATGAATCGACGCAATATCCTTGATTTGCACATCCTTCCGACACAACAATCTGAATCGTGGTGTTTCATTGTATCTCGCAGCGAGGTCGCAACAAACCCGTGTCTCTTCATATCACGGCCCCCACATCCAGATCTCCCGAGAGGTTGAGGTTTCGCTTCGATTTTAAAAACGTCGTTATTAGAACCTTCTGTATCTTGACTCTCCCGCAACAATCCCAATCGTTGCGTTCTCCCTCATCTGCGATGCAACCCCGGGCCGGGGCCGCATCTTGCAGGTCACTTTGGATTGTCTGCGCCGGCCCAGGTTTTGAGTTAAGTAAAACCAAGTAAGTAATAATATTGGGTAGTAATATCCGGCCCGGTGCCGGGGGTGGCCATATTCACTAATGAGAGCTGCTGAGGCTAGAAGGCCCTGAGGGGGGATGTGGCAGATTTGCCAGAAATAGATCGTGTTTCGGAGCATGAAATGGAACAGAACGAGGGGTTGATGATTGGAGGGGCGAGGAAGAGGAGGGTGAAGAGGGTAAGAGGGTGAGGAGGGATGGTAGCATGGAGAAGAGGGATAGAAGGGATGGTAGCATGGAGAAGAGGGATAGAAGTCATAGCAGAAATGGACTAGAGGGAACAAGGAAAGCAGGGGGGCTTTTGGCGATTTCCTGAGTAGAATGAGCGCGGGTTTCAAATGATTTGGTTTCAGTACACGATGATCAGGGTGGTAGTTGTGGTGGTAGCGATGATTATGATTATGATTTTGATGATGATGATGTGGTCGTAGGAAGATAGATGATTGGCTTACTTAACGAGCAGGTGATCATGTCCAGAGGAGGTTTGGTGATTGCATCGCTGTGCGCTGTGGCGGCAGGTAAGAAGAAATGGCTACTTTTGTCATCGACCCCTTGTTCTGAACAGCCAAGTTGTTGATGCTGATGTTTTCAACAGTTGCAATCATCCTTTCCAAGAGCGGGGACTTGCGGGTGAATCAAAGGTCATCCCCTCCTGTGCTAGAGTCGGTGGATCCATATGTGTTGGAGAAGAGGCTGATCGGTAAATCACCATCACTCTGTGACAAGTGATATACTTACACGTTGTCTCAGCGGGCAAAGCTGAGACGCCCCTGCGGCAAAAGGTGGTGCCTGCCATGCTTTGCTCCTGCACGATCTGCTTCATGTTCTTATATGGATGTGCAGGCGGAACGATACCTGAAACAGGCCAGGGAAAGTTTCTCAAAGCGCAATCCAGAGATCCAGAAGGTGTTGAAGAATTCGTCTAGCCGAACGTGACTGACTGCTCTTGATGTCTCCTGTAGCTCATTGCCAAGGCCGAGAGCATCGACTCAAGGTGAATTTTCCCCATTGAAAAGGTGGATTCTGATGCGGATGGTGTAAGGTTGGCGAGTCAATCTGCTGCAGAAGCTAGAATCCAGAAGCAGTTGGACCAAGCCAAACGACAGATTGTAAGTAGCCATGACTGATTGTTCCTTGATGACAAGTTTCTGATAGCGCGGGCTTGCCAACACAAAGAGGGAGAAGTCCGGTTTGCACATGTACAGCGAGTCGGTGATGTCGATCTTGTTGTGATTCAAATGCAGGACGATTGGCTGGCCTCAAAGAGGCGGAGCCATGCCAACGACCTATGGTGAGCTCCAACTTACCCAACGTGAAATGCCGATACTCTTGATAGGCAAGTTCGGACTTGACCAGGCTGATTCGAACAAGGCGATCGATTCGAGCAATGTATGACTGCCAGATCTACTTTGATCTCTATGTTGTTTCTTACGCTATGATTCCTCGCAGGAGATGTATGTCAACAATGATGACGACGAGCGCCGTAACTCCGCCAGGGATGTCGCTGGGACCTACATTGTAACACCATCTCCCCTCAACTGCACCTCTTTCTGACTTGATGATTGCTGCAGCGTGAAAACAGCGATGTTGGTGAGTTCTACGATGCTGTGTTTCCCTTACCCCTCGATGAACGTGTGCTGATGTCAACCTCCAGGCTCCAGCGATGCTGACGACTACAACGATGATTCACAATACGACGATCAGGACCAGTCCGATTACAACTCGCCAGCTGTGACCATCGGCGTTGTCGACGGAAGAAGTGGCAAGGAAGTCTTCTATCCCGAGGAGCCGTCGTCTTGGATCCTTCCCTTCACCTGGTTCATGCGTGGGTCCGATGACAAGCCAGCTGCCTCCAGCACCCCAGCTGCGGATCAGCAGGTTGTTAGAATACCATCTCTACCTGAGAAGTTGAAGTGCTGCTGAGCAGATCGTCAAGACTCCGGAAGTGGAAAGGATTGACAGGCTGTTGAAGATTAGAAGGAAGGAGAAAGCCTTGGAGGAGGAAAAAGAGAACCTGATGGACAGGGTAACACAAGTCGTCGCCTTTGAGTCCCTGTTATGATCTTCTCTCGCAGCTGTACGATGATGCAACCAACGGAAGGCTGAGCACCCAAGACGGCTCTCAGGCTGCAGAAGCCTTCTCTGCTGGATTCTTGCAGGTGAGGCTTGTGAAACTACAGGGTGCAAGGGAGATGACCAGGTGCGAAGGGTGCAGTCGAGGCATCAAGGAAGAGTGTGAAGGCGCAGGGAGAGTTTGCCGAGCAGCTGCAGAGACAATCGGAGATCGTCGATGAGCTCGAGAAGGTGAGGCTGCGCGTCAGTCTCTCTCCATGACCTTCTCATCCAGGTCGTCCGCGAGCTCGAAGCTGCGCAACAGAAGAAGGATTTCGAGGCAACAGCAGCCTCTGCAGCGGGCAAGAAGGAGGAGAAGAGTGAGGAGAAGGAGGAGAAGGAAGACGATGAGGAGAGGGACAAGAAGGAGCAGAAGCCGAAGAAGATCCAGATCGACTTCTACATGGAGGCAGGGTGTCCGGGCTGCAAGGCTTTCACCACTTCAGTTCTCACAGATGTCCTCAATGCCGTCGGGGACTACGTGAACCTGCGGGCCATCCCCTACGGCAATGCGCAGCTGAACAACAGCGTAATCAAGTGCCAGCATGGAGAGGACGAGTGCGTGGGTAACAAGATCGAGCTGTGCATGATGGACAAGTACGGGAAGAACAACGACTGGCAGGTGACGAGCGAGGCCGCTGGCTGCCTCACGCTCTCTGACTTGGTTGCCCTCAGGCCTGGTTCCCTGCCTTCAAGTGCATCGAGAAGTCCGACGAAACTCCTCTCAACGCCTCGCGCACGTGCCTGGCCGACAGCGGGATGGACGTGAACGCCATCATCCAATGTGCCACTGGCAACGAAGGGGACCTCCTCCATATGCAGGTGGAGCATTCTTCCTTTCTCCCTCTACCTACTCTCTCCTCCATCTTCATCCCCCCCTGCTCCTTCCTACTTCTTCCTTTCTCTCTCCTTCTCCCATTTTCTCTCCCCCTTTCCCCTTACTCCTTCTTCTCCTCCCTTCCTCGGATTCTCATTTCCCTCCTCCTCTCCTCCACTGACATGTATGTGCACAGGCTGCCAAGCAGACCATTGACCTCGACCCTCCTCACACCTTCACGCCTTGGGTGCGATTTCTCTCTCGTCCAAAGATTCTACTCTTCTCCCCTTTTCCCTCCTCCTCTCTCTCGCTCGCTCCTCTCCTAACCTCCCCACCCCTCTCCTCTCCTCCCCTCCCTCCCCTCTCTTCTCCTCTCCTCTCCGCTGCTCTGCTCTGCTCTGCTCAGAAGTTTTCGAATTCTGACTTCCCTTCCCTCAGATTGTTCTCGACGGGGCTCCAGTCAAGGACAAGGTTCAGTCTTCCTTGGTTCGATGAGGGCGGCTGAGACTCTTCGACAGGTTATGGACCTCCTCAGCCTCGTCTGCGAAAAGCTTGCTCCCGAAACAAAGTCCAAGATCCCACAGTGCAACCCCAAGTTCAAGGTACCTCCTCCTCCTCACCCTCCCTCCTCCCTCTTTCCTCCTCTTCCTCTTCCTCTCCCCCTTCATCCTGCCACCCTCCTCCTCCTCCTCCTCCTCGTTTCCCCCCTCCCCATCCTTCGATCCTCTCTCCCTCTCTTCTGCCCCCCCTCTCTTCTGCCTCTGACCTGCTCGCAGGCAACAGCTGGCAGCACTTCCTTGTCCTCTAGGCCGAGGAGGAAGATCAAGTTCTGCTACCCCAACGATCCCTTGTCGAGGTTGCTTGCCCACTAGACTCTGCCTTTATCATATCGTATCAAACCTCTTGTTTCTCCCTATCTGGTGATGCTCCTCTCCCTCCTCTTCTCCTTCCCCCCACCCTACACACACTCATCGGCTCCCACTCTCTTGCTTATCATGCCTTCCTTCTGCTCTCATGCCAGCTCGTCCCATGCGATCAACGTCCCTGGCCCTGCAGCAGCATCATTCTCCTCATCCTCATCCGCAGCTACTGCAGCGAACGCGTGCTCTCCTACCTGCCCCTCCCTCAGACCATGTCCACTCGGCTGAGGTGTTGAAAAGGGTCACGTTGGAGCTCATGGCAGAGAGCAAGAGGCCTACAGGCTAGTCAGCAACTCAGACCCTCGTCCTCTCCTCCTGCCTCCGTCGCCAGTGTAGGACGTGACGTAGACTTGAAGGGCGTTGAGCCCTTGCTGCAGCTGCACGAGGATTTTGTGCATGGGAGTGTTTTCCATCCCGTAGGGGCTGAAGTATGCTACCTGAGAGTGCGTCAGAGGAAGGAGAGGAGAGACGCTGCTCAAGAGGAGGAGAGGAGAGTGAGGGCGGAGCACCTTCTTGTCGTTGAGGATCACGACAGCTTCATTGAGGCACATGAGATAGATCTCAGCTGGTAGACTTTGTGACGACGACACGGAGGAGGTCAAGTTGTAAGTCTGCCGTGGTGTCGGTGATGCAAAATGAGGGCAGGATGGGAAGAGGCAAAGAAAGGAGAAGGAGAATGAGGACAGGGGAGCAAGAACAGGAGGCCCAGCGGAGGAGGAGGAGGCGGAGGAGCGTAAAACAAGTGTTATCACAGTCTCAAGACGAACTGTCGTCCCTTGCGGCACAGATCCACTGGGCAGGGACACAGTCAGGAGGTTTCGCCTTGAGCACCATCCCCCCAACCTGAAACCAGAGCTGTCGCTCCAAATCCACTTGCAGGAAATCAGCTCCTCCGGCGCCTGGCCCGGGCCCTGGTACAAAACCACCGTCATGGTAACCTTCAGGAAGACTTGAGCTACCAGGTAGGTCTCGGCGCTGCCCAGCTCCACCGCATTCGGGTAGCAGGGGGCTGAGCAGGGCTCGCAGAAATCGATCCCATTCCTTGTTACCTAGAAGGGGTTTAAGTGAATCAGGGAGCAGCAGGAGTAGGAGAAGGTAGAGCAGGAGCAGGGGCAGGGGCAGGGGCAGGGGCAGGGGCAGGGGCAGGGGCAGGAGTTTGAGCTGGAGCAGGAGCTGGAGCAGGAGCTGGAGCTGGAGCAGAGGTCGGATCTTTACCTTTTGATATCCATCTCTGCAACGCCATTGGCATGTGTCTGTGTTTGCCTGTTTGCAAAGATGACTCGGAAGCATTCTCACCCAGCTCCTCGCTCACCGACAGAGGATACAAGTATTCGGAATGCAAGGGACGAAAGCTGCTGCAGGGCAGACAGCGTGACGGATACTGGCCGGAATCATTGTACTTGTTCTCCATGTCGGCCTGGCGCAAGGCAGTGAGCCAGCTGAAAGCAGCGATGCAAACAAGCTAACGAGATAGCCGCTGGGACATGCGTCGAACAAGAATGTCCCAGGGGGACAAGCCTCGTGGTGAGTAAGAGGGAAACGAAAAACACGACATGCACGTCTTACGAAGGGGGTCGCAAATTGATTATTTGTGTTGTACCTGCAGGTTCACGTCAAGGCAGAGACTGAGATCAGATCGGATCGGATCGGATCAGATCAGATCAGATCAGATCAGATCAGATCAGATCAGATCGGATCGGATCGGATCGGATCGGATCGGATCAGATCAGATGATCTCACCCGAAGCAGGCGACACAAGACCCCGACGATTTTCCGCCGCACCCATCTGGTTCACAAGCTCCATCACTCAATGATCCAATAAGACATCGCCTGGCTACCGATGAACTGGCCTGGTGGACAGTACCTTGAACAACTTCTGCAGTCAGGATACCGATCGTTGTTGTAAGAGAAGTAGAGGTATGCATACGAGTTCACACAGTACTGCAGACATTCATAGAGCTCGTGGTCAGATCTCGCCATCCTTGCTCAAGAACAGTATCCGCTCTCACCACATCACAGTCGTTCACTTCAGGGCCACGCAGGGGATAACCGTAGGCAGCGCCAGCAGGAAGCGAGTAGACCGTGCTCGAATAAGTGCAAGACATGCAAACACTGTCTGTTGTAGAGTTTCCGTAGTGACAAGCATTCTTGAGGTACTTCCCTTTAGGGCAGGGCTGGGCCACCAGTACCGCCATCCCTTGAGTTGGGTTGAACTCATAGCCGAGACAGATCCTTCGCAAGCAAGTCAGACTCCTTGACATGATCCCCTGCCATGGCAAACTTACTTGCAGCTTCCTGCGCTCTGATAGTAGCCCGCAGGACACTGCGCTCGTAACAAGTTCGCGGTGCCGAGCAGCAGGCATGATAGGAGAAGGGCTCTAACTCTTGAGATCGCGGTTTTCATCCTCACCCCATCATCGCATTATCATCGTAATCATCATATCCGCTCTCCTCCTCCTCCTTCCGCTCGCTCGCTCGCTCGCTCGCTTCCTCCCTCCCTCCCTCTCCCTCCCTCTCCCTCACTCACTCACTGCTGCTCCTGCTGCTGCTGCTGCTCCTCCCTCCTCCCCCTGCATGTCTCCTCAAGGCCATCATCTTGTTTTCGCCGTCAACTCCATCGCCTCATCCGACAAACCCTTTCCACTCAAAACTATTTTAATCAACTTCATCCGGACAGTGTCCTGAATTTCCTTCAGCCATGGCTGGCGAGGGAACGGCAGTGGGGAAGGGGAAAACAGGAGGGGCAGGGAGCGGAGCGGAGCGGGGATGGGGAAAAGCAGGAACTGCCAGCACCATGAAGGCATTGTTGTACCTAGTGTGTGGTGTTTGTGATGTAGGTTGTGATATCATCCCAGTTTGTCTCGAAATCTTTGAAAGTTGGCATGCTTTCCATTTTGAGATTGCGACACTTGTCCAGTCGCGCTCCCTCCCTTGCACTGATCTCCTTGCAGGAAGTAACTGAATGTCCAAGGCCGAGAACACAAGTCAGAGCACATGACGTCAAGAGTATGACTAGTGAAGATTCCGACCCTGAGGTCTCTTCCTCTGCAACGCCCCTTGGCTGCCCCGGCGCTTCTTGACGCTCGTGTCCTGCAGCAGAATGAGAGCGAGGAGGAGATCCATGAAAGTCCAGCTGAGAGATCCCAGGTATGAGCAGTGCCGGCCAGGCTCGCGGCGACCTGATGCACCTGCAGGGCAGCGTGTGGGGAGCGATTTCCGGGCATGCACGACTTTCTCCGCGTCTCCTCTATGAGATCGGGGAGCAGTCGACCTCCTCGCCCCTTGCGAGCAGAGGACAAGGTCTGCATGCTCAGTCGTTGTCCTCCTGTCCCTGACGCTGCGTGCCTGCAGTCCGGCATGGCGACATCTGGATCCTACGTCTCATCAATGTAATCACAGGGTAGATGATGCGTTGACCTCACCATAACGTCTTAAGCCTCCTGCTCCCCAGCTGCGCCTGTCTGTGGGCGATCGTCGCCCACATCCGCGAGTTCTGCACCAGCGGGGAGCCAAGTGACTTTGTCGGGCCCGATGGACGAGTTGCACTCTGGCTCAAGGCAAGGGCGATCGATACTGACTGCTGCGCTCCTAGTGGACTGAACGTTGACACAGATTGAGGCCATAACCTCCTTCTTGCTCCCGATCATGAGCCTTGCGGGTGAGGGGGAGGACGGAGCCTCGCGCGTCCTTGTCCTCGAGCTCACCGTTTGCGCAGTGCTGGCATTAAGACTGGAGTACAGCATCAAGGCGAACTTTATGCTGTACTGCATCTCAATCTTTCAAACCTCTTGGTTCATCGGTGAGGAGGTTTGAGGTAGAGACGACCCCTCTCACATGCTGCCTTCAGTCGGTTGCGTGTGGGCGTTTGGGGACAAGGGAGTCCCAGGTGGTTGTCGAGATGGAAGGTGGGAGGAGAGGAGGGAGAGTCGATGAGCTCTGACTAGGGCGTTAGCTGGGGTGACAACAGCGCTTTCTTGGTTTTATGGTGGATCTGCATGATATGGCTGGCCATGGTGAGACTGACTACATGCCGCTGCCTCCTTGCTTCAACCCTTGCCCCCTTGCGCTCCCTCTCTCTCGTCCTCCTGGCTCGTCGACCGACTTCTCCCTCTGCCTGAGGCTCATGCGTTCAGGTCATCTGCCTGGCGATCGTCGCGTGCTTCATCGGATGGCTGCAGGTCTGTCGATCTCTTCCTCCTCCCCCGCAGCCATGACGAGACGCGCAGTTGGATCGGATCCGCAGGATGTGGAGGGAGGGGCAGAAGATCATCCAGGAGGCGTACGCGAGAGAAGACAGCGAGCAGGATGACGCGATGAGGATGAAGGGGAGCGGCAAGGAGGAGAGGCACGAGGAAGAGGGCCTTACTTCGCCTCTCATTAGTCAAGCTCGCACGGTCATCCAGGGTTAGAACAGCAGGAGGGAAGCGAGGGAAAGGACGGAGAGCAAGAGGGGGGGAGAGGGGAACAAGGAGATTGATTCATGTAAAAAGATAAACTCTCTCATCAAGAACTGTCTGTCGACCTGTCCGTCACCTTATACTCCTTCGTCCTCGTCAGTCTCGTCAGTCTCGTCACCCTCCACTCACCGGCCTCACGAAGCTGCTAATGTCTTGTAGGCACCTGGAACAGTCCCAAGTCAAAAAATCCATGACCGCCTCCTCTCCCTCTCTCCCCTCCCCTCCTCTCCCTCCCCTCCCCTCCTTCCCCTCCCCTC